GGCCCCGGCAGCAGGACAGCTGTGGCGCGTCTGGGCTGTCCCGCTGCCCGTGTGCTCCACGGCTTTGCTCCGCATCTCCCTGGTCTCCCAGCTTTTCTCGCCCCGGAGAACGCGGGCGGCGGGCCGCTACTCCCGTCCTCCGGGGCGAGAGAAACCCCGTTCGTAACTGCGGATCCGACGTAAGTGCGATCCGCGTAACTCGGGGACTGCCTGTAATATAAAACAGTTGTTTAAGCAAATAGGCATTCCAGTATGATCATGCACTTCATTTAAACTCACATTCTAAGGGGAAAGGATACATGCACTGCTGTTCAGCTTCTGGATGAGGAATGTGGATATAATCCTTTCTTTAACAGTTAAGGATGTAAAAGGGTAACCAATTGCCCAGAAAGCCTTGTCTTACTGGCTTGCTTACCTGGTTAAATGGTGCCTGGCTAGGCTGGGCCCACCACATCATGTTGGCAGGTGGCGGGCCATGTTAATTCACCATCAAGGTACTGTCTAAAATCAACCCATTATCCTTTTTATAATAAACTAAAATAATGCCTCTTAAATAACATTAAATCTTCCTTTTACCATATCTGTATTTCTGCAACCGTAATACAATATTTTCTACCTTCTCATTGGCTATTTAACATTAAGCATTGGTCTGGAAATGAAGCAGATGCTATCAGTATAAATAGCATTTTCCAAAACATTAACATTTTGTTTAAAACATTTGTAAAAACCAGTTAGGACCAAAACACATTTACTACATGAACTGGGATTGTGCTCTGATTTACTTCTGAACTGTTTTACTTCAATTTACTCATACTTTAGCATGCTTTACTGTTATCAAACCTGTTTTGGGGAAATGTAAGCTGACCCAAAATTCTATTATAACTCATTTCTAAAGAAAATAAGCATCTCTATAGGCCTATGTGCTCCTAACCTCCCAAGAATACTGTAGGTGCAATGGCCAGGGGAGAGGCTGCAGTCCTGGTAGGCCCAGGTCAGGATGGTAGCCTTCTCTACCCCTTGCACTTGCTGGGATTAGGTGTTGCTGACCCAGAGGCGAATCACAGGGAATCATTTCCAGCTCCAGTATCATGGTCCCACCCACTTATTCCCATGAAAGCAGAGCGGTAGACGGTTCTCTACACTGCTAAAGAGCCATTGAGCAGCAGGATGGCTTCCCCTGGCAGGAGTTCTCTCCTATACAGAAATAAGGGTTTTGGATAATAAAGTTTCAGAAAACTAGGAGTAGACTGTGTTAGAAACATGATGGGGGTCAAAGTTTTCTATTAGTAAATGTAACACAGTCAAAATCTGTCACAGAGGCATTGATTAATATGTTTGGTTATCTGTTTGCATCCCTACTATCCAGTTGCTCGGTACCCAGGAGCAGCCTCCCAGGAGTCGGAGGCCCTCTGCCCCACGTGCGGGAGTGGGGGAGCCTGGAATGGGAGCCGGCTCCTGCTGCTGGCTCTCCTGCATGGGGAGAGCTGCCAACTCCTGCTTCTGCATCCTTCCTCCTGCTGCTGTGCAGGAGATTTAACTGATTAATTGATTAACTGGGATTTTACATTCGTATTGGAGATGAGACTAAATATACAATGTTCAACTTGGAGAGAAATTTTATTGTACTAAGAGGACAGTTATTTCTGAATATAGTGTTACAATATTGGGGTCTGTCCAGCAAATCCTTACTAATATGAGTGGTTCCACTGAATGGCAGAATTTCATTACTTGCATGTGGTATTATTGCAGGATTGAAAATAGGTTACTGCAATAGCTGTTCAATGGAACCTTTTGAAATATCAACAGATATCTGTGCAAAAGATGAAAAAAGTATGATCAGACTTACTATGAAGGAAATTTTTGGCTGTATTTTTAAAAATATGAGCCTGTCTGTATTTAGATAAGAATTTTTTGAAGTGCCTGTGTTCTTGTGCATTTTTTGAAAATCTGATTTCCTCCTCTTAAATCTTTGTTCATTCTTAGATTTAAGGCCAGAAGGGAACATGCTGATAATCTAGTCTGAACTCCTTTTATAACACAGACCAAAAGACTTCATTAATTCATGCTCCAAGTCCAATAGCTGTTGTTGAATTAGAAAATATCTTCTGTGGTAACATCCCATCTTGATTTTAAAACGTTCAGTGATGGCGAATGCACTGCAATTTGGTAAGTTGTTCTAATGATTAATTTCCCTCCTGGTTTAAAAAAAAAGTGCCTTATTTATCATTTGAATTTGGGTTTGTTTTTTTGTTGTTGCTAAATTCAAGAACCATTATTGTCAAATTCCTGTTACCCGTAAAGTATTTAGACTGTGATCAAATCACCCCTTAGCCGCTTTCTTGATAAAACAAAATAGATTGGCTACCTCTAGTCACTAGAAAATCCTACACATAGGAACTTAAAGTTATTTCCTGTTTGAAAATTTTGGTCTTCAGCTATTATATTTATAAATGTATATTAGTGCACATCACTTAAGGCATGAATGATTTAAAATTTATTAACTTTTAATCTAAATTTGGTTTTTCCTTAATAATGCTACGGGTTGGACCACTCTGATCTGGGATTCTCTGGTCCAGTAACATCTGTGGTCCATGAGCAGCTGGCTATGGAGTCATGGCAGCCCAGGGGCTGGTTGTGAAGCCCCAGGGCTGGCTGCAGAGCCAGCAAATTTGGGAGCAGTCAGGTCCGGAGGATGCTGGGCCAGGGAGGTCCAACTTGAAGTTTTTGTACTAGACCTTTTAAAACTATGACATTTAAAATTGCCTGGGATATTGGGCTACACAGAATTACTTCACGTGGACTAAGCAAAAGGTAAAATAGGTTTAGAGTCTCCAAACTTTTCAGCCCGAGGGCCGCATTAACTATCAAACAGCAGTTCGGGGGCCGACTACACACTTGAGGTCCAAATAAAAAACAATCAAAACATGGATGTTGTTTTTAATTATTTATTTAATATTATTTTATTCAGTGTCTGCAACACGGCGGGCAATGGTATTCGCACCCAAAGCTACATTTTCAAATTGTTTTGACTTTTCTGGGCAAAGTTCCTCAGCCACTTCCAACAAACATTCCTTCACTACTTCACCATCTGTAAAGGGTTTGCCACTTTTAGCCAGGACGTAGGCAACTTTATAACTGGCCTTAGTTAAGGATTCATTTTCATTTGAGGATTTACTGAACAATGTCCTCTGAGATGTGAGTTGATTTTGTAATTTAGAAAATTTTTCGGCACGGACTTTACCCTCCAACTGTACATATTTCTCCTGATGTTTGCTTTGATGATGACGGCGCAGGTTGTATTCTTTCATCACAGCCACGGTTTCGTTGCAAATCACACACAATGCTTTCTCGCCGGATTTGATGAAGAAGTATTTCAAACTCCATTCTTCTTGAAATTGCCGACACTCATCGTCTATTTTTCTTTTCCTCTTCTCGGCCATCGCTGGGCACTAAAATAAAGTGAATTCAACATGAATAAATAATGAAACTGAAAGTATCTTGCACACAATATCGCTCAAAAAACCTGATTATGCGAACTAATTTTGTCGCAATAATAGCTGCAAATGACCCGAAACAATTTTTAAAAATTCTTATGATTTCTTAAGTTAAACTTACCTGAATATAGTGTGCAAATATATCCACTTATGGTAGAGAGATTGTTGCTTTTAATGTTTCCTCTTCAGAATATTCGCCTGCGAATCCGTTTCTCCCGGAAATTCCCAATACTTTAAACACACTGATAAGTAATTACGCGAAGGAAATTATCACTAAATAAAATAGAGTGCAACATGTTTCGAAATCAGACGCTAATTGACACCAACACCTCCTCATCGCAACAGTCAACCGCAACTGGCAAACTGTGATCAAAATAATCAAGTCTTGAACCAGCAGCAAACCATTTAAAACCTCCGCCACTAGATGGCGTTATATCATCTCATTGACTGTGAACGGAAGTAGAAAAAGTAAGCAGCGAATAAGGTTTTGCAATGGCTGCCCTGGCAGTCGGGGCGGGGGACCGCCGCCCGTGCTACCCCCCGCCCCCTGCGCCGTTTGCCGCCGCACGGCCGCTTGTCAGCAGAGCGGCCCGCTTCTCCTGCCCCGGCACGGCGTGAGTACACGCCGCACACCCCTGACAGGGGCCCCCCCCCGCGGCAAGAAGGGCCCGTTCGGCGGCACCCCAGGGACGGTCTCCACGGGCCGGATGAGAGGGCCTCGCGGGCCGCATCCGGCCCGCGGGCCGTAGTTTGGAGACCCCTGGTTTAGACTTTCAGTTAATCACTCTTCTGTAAACTTTATTCTATTTATCATTCAGATATCACAGTAATTGTTACATTAGAAATACCTAGGTACACAGATCTGTGATTTCTTCTACAGCTGGACCTATTGGGACTAGAATATTTCCTTTAAAGGAAAACTTCAATATAAACACAAAGTAGTTTAATTATAGTGGAGAATAAAAACTCAATTTTATTTTCTCTGAATTGGATCAAAGTTTCTTTATTTCATTTGTAACTCAAAATAAATTATACCATTAAATTTTATGGTTGTGTGTATATAAATAGCTTTCGTGATAATTTTAAGAACAGTACCATTTTAAATTTTTATGAAGCAGCTAACACCGCTTTGTATATCTTTATCAGCCCAATTAAATCAATTTATTTCATAATAAATTCTCAATCATGATGATTTTTGACATTTTTAAAAATACATATACATTAGGTAGATACTGCATTCTTATGCCCTTTATAAATGATTATAGGCCCTCCAGTTTGTGCAATGGAGAATTTTCAAGGACAAGAATACTACAGTTTACAAGCATAATTGTAATTTGGAAAACTAGACATGGAAAACTAGACACTAGTGAAGCTAGTGGAGGAAATAAAAAGATGACAGAATTGATTAAATTCTGCACCCCTAGCTAGAATAAGATGTGCCAAATTTTGAAATAAACAGCTATTCTGAAATGTCCCTTAGTCCTTGTGGAATGAGGTTTACAATACAGGGATATAAGAAAAGAACAAGCCTGTTATATTGCTAAAGACATGGGATAGCTATTTCGGGATAGGAGTTATCCGCAGTATAGACATAACCTCTGTGAGTATAGAAAATGCTCCTTTCAGATTCAGTCCCCTTAAAGGCTCTCACTGTTTAAAGGAATAAAACAGTTGTGTGTAGTGTATTCAGTGGTGAACTTTCTACGTAATGATTTTGTAAAAATATAACTTCCTTTCTCATCCTGGCTTCATTTTATTTTTTCTTTTTCTTTCCTATGATAGATCATTGTATATATTTCTGAAGTTGTCTTCATCAAGTCTGGTCCTTTTCTCTTTTTTTCCTGCAATGTATTTACTTCCTCTCTCTTTCATTTTCCTCCTTATTTCTTTGTCAGTACCACACTTTCCTATTCTGTCTTATATAATCAGTTTGTCTGCCTATTCATCCCATCCATTTGCCCATTTGTAGAAGCCAAAGGATAAAACCTACTCTCCAAAGACAGAAACAGGGGCCACATTACAGGGACAATGCTCAGGTGAAAAGGCAGTATCTTTTTACACTTTTCATGTGTGAGTGGAAAGAAGGTGATATTTCCCCTGACTACTTGCAGGTTCCATCTTTCATAGTATTCTCTGACTAGAATGTGTCTGTAGTTAGCTCCCTCTATTGCTGGTTGTCAGAGGAAGCATTTATTCTCCTTTCCACCTGCAGTGACTCCTTACTTTTATGAGAGATGTGGAAGGTGTCCCTGTTGTTCTCTATCCAAGTTTCCTCACTGATGTGATAAGTATGTGTACCTGCATTCTTCTCAGCCTGGCTTCTCACAGTGTTTTCTGTCCTGTTCTTTGCCTCTCTTTTTGAGGGCTTCCACTCAGAGCATTCTGAAGCAGCAGCAGTGTATGATAATCCTTGCCACTTTTGTTACTGCTTAAAGTGCTGATAAGACTATGGGCAAGTGGAATTTCTGATCACTACATCAAGCAGGTGGCATTAAATCCTTGCTGATAACCACACACATCTGAATACTGGAAGTGGTTTAAATGGTCAAGCAAAAGAAGATTCTGCATTCAGTTTGAATTTGTAATGAAGTAGCTTTTGAATGCTACATCTGATCAATTCCAAAATTTTAGGAAGTGGTTTAGGCATCTGTGGCAAGAACCCTATAGATTTTGGTGAAAATTGGAAAAATTAAAAGGTAGACATGAGACCCATAGTTGTAGGGATGAGAGAAGGGGTGGGGTTGCAAGGAGTTCCTGAAAGAGAGGAAATAGAATGGTGGCACACATGGAGCTTGTGGAGGGGATGGAGGAATACAAGAGTCTTTGATGGATGTAATGCACTTAGCATATAGAAGCAACAAAGTGTGCAACTATTTAATGTTAGCCACTACAACAGAGAGGAGATCTGGGAATTGAGCGATTTCAAAAAGTGATAAGGGTGCTAAACACCTTAGAACATTTGGCATTTAATATAAAAAATTTAGAGAGAGGAGGATGAAAGGCCCATCCAGTTCCATTATAATCAACTCAAAGGAGACCTAGTTACAACAGTTCTATTTAGTAGAGTAGACAGGCTAAGTTTTCTAACTGGGACAAATTTTTGCATGTGTTCTGGTTATGGAACTTGGTTAAAATCCCATCTGCATTCTGAAATGGAACCAAGTTATAAACAGGTCCATTGACTTGCTTGTAATTATAAGATAGACAGGCTCAAATGGTGGAAACTAGCATTGTGTACAAACTCTTCACACTGCTGGGGAAAGTGCTATCTCATGGGGAGTTAGTTTAAAGTTATCAAAGGGAATTTTTTTGTTGGCTTCTCAAACTTCGTTGCACGGTAACTTCTTCTGACAACAAAAATTACTTTACAACCCCAAGAAGAGGGACTGAGGGCTGAACCCACCCCTTGCTGCCATAGACAGAGCAGAGCTGAAGCAAAAGCCTGAGATCTTCAGCTCCAGATGTAGAGGTCTGTAACTTGAGCTCCGCCATCTAGGACTGAAGCCAAACCATGAGCTCCATGCCGGGGCTAAAGTCTTTAGCTTTAGCTTCAGTCCTGGATCTGAAGAAGTCTAATGCCAGCCCTGATGACAGTTACAATTTTGGGCCCCGACCCCATTTTAACAGCAGTTCTCAACTAATAGTTGTTAAACTGTGCCTCCTGGGCCGCTGGTAGTTGTGGAGTACTGCTTGGTCACGTATTGCTGGTTCTTATTTCTGCCTTTCTAACCAGATTAAAACAGCTAAAATACATTAAATATTGCAAACAGGTCAAACAACTCTTGAATAATTAGTTGTGAAACGTAGAGACATTGAAAGTAGATATTTTTGAGTAAACTGGCTACATGTTGTACTGGTTTAGGATAGTGAACCATTCTGTACTATTTCATGAAGATGGAAGAAAAAAATATTGAATCATTTCTAGCCCATCATTTAGGTTTTGGATTAAAAAACAACAACCCTGATTAATTTGCTTAGTGAATTCTAATAGCAAGACATCATAATTATTATATTTAAATGTGCTGGGTTGATTTTTTTTTTTTTTTTTGCTAATGTACTTTTGTTTTTAATTTCATAGGAACTAATTGAATGGGACTTCAACCACTGGTTGATAAAATAGACACAAAAGTAAGTGGTACAGATACAAATTTTGTTTTTGCTATTTTGCAAACTATATATAGCTAAACTGGTACTACTTCTGGTAGCAGTTAAGCTTATTTATTGCAATATTTCTGACTATAAGTTGAACCTCTCTGGTCCAGGATTCTCTGTGTTGGACCACGGATGTATGCTGGACCCTGGACCAGAGAGCCTCAGCAGGGAGCCGTTGGCTGCAGGGTGCCGGCAATCTTGGGACTGGCCACGGAGTCCCAGCAGCAGAGGGGTCTGATCTCTCTTGGTCAAGCAAACTCCCTCCTTCAGGACTTCAGAGTGCCAGATCAGGGAGGTCCAACCTATAGATTTTGTAGCTATTCTTTTTTTTTGTTTTGTAATCCTGAGTACAGCTGATTTTTAGTTTTTGTTTAGTATTTTTTTCCTGGTATAAAGTTACACCAGAAAGTTTCATAGGTCCTCACCTTCTAAATATTGGTGGGGTTTTCTCTCTTTTTGGAATGTACTCCTTACTTCTTCATTAAAGACTTTCTTCATCAAAGAAGAAAGGGTCTGTACTATGGGAATCTAGGTAGGCTATGTTTCATTTATTGCTGCTTTCTCCTCTGGATCATTCTGTTTTAATAGTTGGAACTACCATTACCCAAGAGGAAAAATAAATATGATTTTAACATACTCTTATTTAATTGACAAATCCTTCTTCTGTATTTTCTATATCCATCCCATTGGAATTTTTTTTTCCTTTAAATTTCTTGCCACATCTTACTGGATCTCTTCCATTTGGCTAATTGTTACATGCTGGAGTCTCATGTTTTCTTATTACAATAAAGGTTATACCCCACTCTAGGTATGCTTTATATACATTAATTAAGAAAGAAAATTCTTAATAACTTCATTTCAAGAAAAAGATTTTGTGTTCTATCAGACTGCAATTTAAAAAAATATTTTTTACTCAGAGTACTTTTCCATCTGATATCAAAACACATGAAACATGCTATGCCTTACAGCTCTCCTTTGAGTGATATATCATGCTTTGGTTATTTTACAGATTGCTAAATTGATCCATGGAAAGGCTACATGGAAATTGAAATGTATTTTGGAATTGTTCAACTTCATTAGAAAATGGAGTGTGAGACTTCTGCATTTCTTGTCTGTGATTTTTAAGTGCAATCTTAATGTGCAGTAACATTTGTGTGCTGGGTAGGTGGAGAAGACTTCTGAACAAGTGGTACTGTTTGTACTGGATTGGCGCTGCTTAGGGTTCCTATGTGTCTAGTCTTCAACTGGAAAGTCTGCTCAAACAGGGAACTAATCACTGTTGGTGGGGGAATGGTAGCTTGTTGTCTGGGCCTGAAGTGGTGACTCCTGTGGCAGCGAAAATACCCTAGCTCCTTTCAGGAGTGTAATTTGCAGCATAGTGTGGAAGACCGAGTGCTGGGGTCAATGGCAAGTAGGCTAAAGAGCTCTTAGTGGGAATGGAACAATCACTGGGAAGGAAGGAATGCCAGCCAGTGCTTCCCCTGCCCATGCTTCCAGGCAGCTCTGGGGAAGGGAGTGCTGTAGCAGGTGGTGAACGGGGCTGCTGGGCAAGCCAGGCAGAGGGAGTTGCAGGGCTGCGTAAGTGCTTCGATGAGGCTGTAGCACTCTTCTGACCTGCACTCTCAGATGGCCTAGTGAAGCTGGGACTTGCAAGTACTTTGGGGTTGCTCACGCTGGAGTTGTGGGGGAGAGCAGTGAGCAATGGCTGCAGGGGAGCAAGCAAGGGATGGGACTTCGTGAAAAGAGGCAGCACAGAGGGCCAGTTTTAACATATTAGAGAGTTGGCTGTCTTAGTGCTGCAAGTTTGCACATCATGTGAGGAAGCTCTGTAATTTCATTGAATAAACATGTGCTCACTTTCTTAGTTGTTGCTACACACGCATTGAGTCTTCTTTGAACTGCACTTTATAAAAATCAGAACAAGATTTTCCCAGCCTAGCAAAGGTGTTAGATTGTTTTCGTGCCTAATTGCAACATTTACAGTTCAGGTATAGAGAAAGTATATGATTGCTAGGATAGTCAGTAATTGGGTTTTTAACAGTGTGGGGGTATATCCAACTTTTATGCCACTATTAATATTTACCAAGTCTTCAAAATAACTTAGCGTCTTATATTTTGGATGCTTTGAGCAATGATGTCAACAGATTTCCAGGCTAATGCTATTTTAGAAAACAATGACAATGCTCTTTTTTTTTTCTTAAAGTAGATAGTGTCCAGTGTTAGTTAAGCCTTTTCAAAAATAACATAATACTTTTCTCTTTCTGTGCATACTGTGCTATCTAAGGACAAGTAGGAGACTTCTTATTTTGACACTTCTTGCTTCTTACCTGTGCATAAAATGTATATTTTTGACTGATTTGAATTTTTAATCTGTAGTGGCATATAGAAAAGATGAAATGTGGTCTGAAGGCCGATATGAGTATGAAAGACTTCCAAGAGAACGACTCCCACCAAGAATTCATGCTGATGTAAGTATATGTTACATTGTTTAAATATTGAACCTTGTGCTTTTTTAAAATTAGTGCTTATTAAAACTGAATCTTTTCACTTTAAATAAGAAAAAAAAAATGATTCCATGTTCACAGATCATATTGTTGCTGACTAACTTTTAAGGCAGTGGTTCCCAAACTTTTTGGCATCACACCCCCTTTTAGATTTTTGAGAAACCCTCATGCCCCCCAATAGCAGCAAAACTTGTTATGCAAAACAAAAAAGGGGGGGGGGGGGGGAGGTAAGGAACTGAATAGGACAGCAAAACTTGATGGGGAGGCTGGGTTGCCTCATGCCCCCCCTGGAATTTCTTCATGCCCCCATGTTTTAAGGCAATGATCCTGCAAATGGATCTTCCTAGGGACAGCTTGTGCATTTGTGGGTCTCCTGAAGTTAACATATGGATGATAGGTTCTGCCCACATAGCTCTTTGTATGGACTCAGGGTGCTATTCACTGGAAGTACTTCAAGTAGATCGTTTTCTATACAGATATGTTCAATATATTTTGCATGCAGTTAAACATGGGTTGTTCAGATTGTTCTGGGTTTTACTGAAGCAATACAACTTACTGAAAATAAGTATCTTTTTTTTTCTTTTACTTTCTCGTATCGAATTTTATAACTGGCTGGAAGTTCATACTGAACTCAAGGGCTTGTGCAGAGCAGTAAAACAATGCTGTTGATGCATGCAAAGATTAAAGAAAAAATTTAACCTTAAGTGTTGAAATTACAAGTTAGCAGCAGTTGCCTACTAGCTCCATTATTGGAGCATTAATTACAAAGGAAACAGTATAGTAATGAAATACAGTCTGTTTGCAAACTCCATTCTATTCTCAATTCTAAAATTAGAATTTCAGCTACCTATTTTAGGTCTCTAAAATTAAACACTAATTTACAGAATTCTACTTTGTCCTTTTTTGTAGGTAAGATTTTCTTTTATCTCTGAATATCCAGAGAAGAGATCAAATTCACTCTTAAATTTAGCTTTTGAGCTGTTGCAATTAAATAGAATTTAAAGACCGTTTTCTAAATTATTCTACTTACAGGGTACACAGTATGTACTTGGCAACATAAAACCTCAGGTATCGGTGCCTGCTGTTTACTTTATCTCCTCTCTCTCTTCTTAGTGAATCTTGGAGATTTAATGGTTGTTCAGTTAACCTGGGCTACTTTTTGTCTGTCTTCACCCACCTCTCTCATATTCTCAGCCTGCACTTTTTGTAACTAGTGTCACAAGGTGTCTATGGCTCTTTCTGTTAATTAGTGTATTGGTGTATTGGCTATTATGTGATGTTGTAACTTTCTTTACAGGCATCAGCAAAATTTCTCCATTTTCAACAAACTGGAAACCAGATAAGTTGGAACAGGGTATTTAGTTAGATACGTTGCTCCTTGAGTAGTCTTACCAGCTATAGAACATAAGGAAAGGCAGACGGACTTTTACAGATACTAATTTTTTTTAACCAGAGTAACATTTGGTTTGTCTAACAATTTGCTCATTTAATGTAACCATTACAGCAATAAAATTTTTTAAAACCAATTTTGTTACCAGTAGTCTTTAAATTGCTTTAGGATACAAAAGTATAGCATTCCAAAAAAATCAGTGGAAAAACTTTGGTTTGCCAATTTATTATACTGTTAAGCTAGGATGTATGACTACTTGTGATGTTGATAGCTACTGAAAGGCATTTTCTTCATCACTAAATGTCACATCCAAAATTACAGAATTTTACTACTCAGGGCAATGGGTTTTTTATTAGTTCATTCATAATTGTCAGTTTTCATGGCTGATGACAGAGATTAATGTTTTTCCTAGCCTGGAATGTTTTATGTCAATTTTTAATGACTGGCACATCTGTGTGTCTAGTCTCTACTATTCAGGATAAGAACTTTAAGATTGGTCTAGAAATGGAATGTAATTCATCAGAATAAAATCTGTGGTAGAATGAGAGTCAGATGATCTCAAATTATGATAAAATGCCAGACAATAAGATTTTGCAGGTTTGCCCACTTGGGATGTCAATGTGTAGTTGACTATATGATTAACTGATTAAGCCTAGGCTTATTGGTTAATCTTGTCGACTATATGCATTTTCCCCACATGCACACCAGCTTTCTGGTGCCGCCTGCTCCCCCGCCCCCATCCCACTGCTGCCTCTGTTGGAGGCAGCGGGGGAGGGGAGGCTGCTTTGAAGCAGCTTTTTTCCATACGGAGCTTAGACCCTCCCTTGGACAGGGGCTTCTGCCACCCTGTGCTGCTACCTCTGTATCAGAGGCAGCAGTGTGGGGTGGCAAGCAGCCGGTCTGCGTGGGGAGCAGTTTTCTAAACTGGCTACCCTCACGGACCGACTCCAATCTGGCACTGCGCACTGTGCCTCTGATAGAGAGGCAGCAGTGCAGGGGGCTTCTTAGGAGTGAGGCCTGAGCTCATTGGCTGCCAGCCCCGCCCCCAGGAACTTTCAAATAGTAGTATAACTGATAAGAATTCATGCAGTTACACAACTATTCAGTTACCCGATATCTATCATCCCTATCGCCCCCACACTGCACAATATTGTTCACATCTTTACAATATTCATACTGTTGGAATAATTAGAATAGTGTTTTCTATATAGCATTGGTAAAGTTTGTCAGCAAGCTTATTTATAATATAGAATCACAGTATACTAGGACTGGAAGGGACCTCAAGAGGTCATTCAGTCTAGGCCCCTGCCCTCATGGCAGGACCCAGTCCCTGATAAACATTTATCTAACCTACTCTTAAATATCTCCAGAGATGGAGATTGCACAACCACCCTACGCAATTTATTCCAGTGTTTAACCACCTGGACAGTTAGGAACTTTTTCCTAATGTCCAACCTAAACCTCCCTTGCTGCAGTTTAAGCCCATTGCTTCTTGTTCCATTTTCAGAGGCCAGGGAGAACAAGTTTTCTCCCTCCTCCTTGTGACACTCTTTTAGATACCTGAAAACCTCTATCATGTCCCCTCTCAGTCTTCTCTTTTCCAAACTAAACAAACCCAATTCTTTCAGTCTTCCTTCATAGGTCATGTTTTCTAGACCTTTAATCATTCTTGTTGCTCTTCTCTGGACCTTCTCCAGTTTCTCCACATCTTTCTTGAAATGTGACGCCCAGAACTGGACACAGAATAACGTTGGCTTTTTTTTGCAACAGCGTCACACTGACTCATATGTAGCTTATGGTCCACTATTTCCCCTAGGTCCCTTTCTGCCGTATTCCTTCCTAGATAGTCGCTTCCCATTCTGTATTTGTGAAACTGATTGTTCCTTCCTAAATGGAGCACTTTGCATTTGTCCTTATTAAAACTTCATCCTGTTTACCTCAGACCATTTCTCCAATTTGTCCAGATCATTTTGAATTATGATCCTATCCTCCAAAGCAGTTGCAACTCCCCCAACCTTGGTATCGTCTGCAAACTTAATAAGCGTTCTCCGTATGCTGATATCTAAATCGTTGATGAAGATATTGAACAGAACCGGTCCCAAAACAGACCCTTGTGGGACCCCACATGTTACTCCTTTCTAGCAGGATTATGAACCGTTAATAACTGCTCTCTGGGAATGGTTATCCAGCCAGTTATGCACCCACCTTATAGTAGCCCCATCTAAGTTGTATTTGCCTAATTTATTGATAAGAATATCATGCGAGACCATATCAAATGCCTTATTAAAATCTAGATATATCACATCCACTGCTTCTCCATTATCCACAAGACTCGTTATCCTATCAAAGAAAGCAATCAGATTGGTTTGACATGATTTGTTCCTTACAAATCCATGCTGGCTGTTCCCTATCACCTTATTATCGTCCAGGTGTTTGCAGATGATTTCCTTAATTACTTGCTCCATTATCTTTCCTGGCACAGAAGTTAAACTGACTGGTCTGTAGTTTCCTGGGTTATTTTTATTTCCCTTTTTATAGATAGGCACTATATTTCCCCTTTTCCAATTTTCTGGAATCTCTCCTGTCTTCCATGATTTTCCAAAGATGTTCGCTAAAGGCTCAGATACCTCCTCTATCAGCTCCTTAAGTATTCTAGGATGCATTTCATCAGGCCTTGGTGACTTGCAGACATCTAACTTTCTAAGTGATTTTTAACTTGTTCTTTTTTTTATTTTATCTTCTAAACCATAGCATTCACTATGTCAGGCGTTCCTTCATCAGACTTCTTGGTGAAGACCGAAACAAAGTCATTAAGCATCTCTGCCATTTCCAAGTTTCCTGTTACCATTTCCCCCTCCTCACTGATCAGTGGGCCTACTCTCCCCTTGGTGTTACTCTTGCTTCTAATATATTTATAGAATGTCTTCTTGTTTCCCTTTATGCCTGCAGCTAGTTTGAGCTCGTTTTGTGCCCTTGCCTTTCTAATCCTGCCCCTGTGTTCCTGTATTGTTTGTCTATATTCATCCTTTGTAATTTGTCCTAGTTTCCATTTTTTATATGACTCCTTTTTTATTTTTAGGTCATGCAAGATCTCCTGGTTGATCCAAGGTGGTCTTTTGCCATATTTTCTATCTTTCCCTTTGAAAAACTGCCAACTCTCTTCAGTTGTTTTGCCCCTCGGTCTTACTTCCCATGGGACTTACCTACCAGTTCTCTGAGCTTACCAAAATCTGCCTTCCTGAAATCCATTGTTTCTAATTTGCCATTCTCCCTTCTACCATTCCTTAGAATCATGAGCTCTATCATTTCATGATCACTTTCACCTAAGCTGCCTTCCACTTTCAAATTCTCAACCAGTTCCTCCCTATTTGTTAAAATCAAGTCTAGAAGAACTTCCCCCCAGTAGCTTTTTCAACCTTCTAAAAGGAAAAGTTGTCTCCAATGCAGTCCAAGAACTTATTGCATAGTCTGGGCCCCGCTGTGTTAATTTCCCAACATATATCTGAATAGCTGAAGTCCCCTATCACCACCAAATCCTGTGCTTTGCATGATTTTGTTAGTTGTTTAACAAAAGCCTCATCCACCTCTTCTGCCTGGGTAGATGGCCAGTAGTAGACCCCCTAGGATGACATCACCCTTGTTTTTTACCCCTTTTAGCCTAACCCAGAGACTCTCAACACATCTGTCTCATATATCCATTTCCACCTCAGTCCAAGTGGGTACATTTTTAATATATAAGGCAACACCTCCTCCCTTTTTCCCCGCCTGCCCTTCCTGAATAAGCTGTACCCTTCTGTACCAATATTCCAATCGTGTGTATTATCCCACCAAGTCTCTGTGATGCCAATCATGTCATATTTGTATTTATTTATTAGCTCTTCCAGTTCTTCCTGCTTATTACCCATACTTCTTGCATTTGTATATAGGCATCTAAGATACTGATTTGATCTTGCCTCCCAGTTCTGCCTTTTCCCTATTTCCAATCCATCTCCCAGGTCTCCATGATCTTCACTTACCTATGTTTAAAGCCCTCCTCACTAGGTTAGCCATTATATCAAACAATCTGTGATCTTGGTATACCTTTTCCTGCCTAAAGTTTCAAAACATTAGATTGTAACTATAACTTGAAAAAGGTTTGTTTTGGATGTTTGTTTTTCCCCTCAAGGTTGCATGTACAAATGCAGGGGGCATTCCTAATAAGGTCCATTTGAAATTTAGCTCTTAGCGCTTTAATGTAGATTGGTAATAGAAAGGAAAATTTATAAGTTAAGGGCTGGCTCTCCAGCTTTCATTTACTTTTTTACCTACCAACAGTTCATATAATTAGAACCCTGCATGGATACAAATTTGTATTCCTAGAAATAAATCGGTATCCGCGGAACCATAGAACTCTCCTAGGAGCCGTGGCAGCAAAAGTAGCAGAAGAGGGCTGCTGTTCCCAGAAGCCAGTGCCCCATGCCAGCAGATCCTACAGCATGGCTGTACCGCCCACAGGTGGACACCAGTCTCACGGACAGCCATCCCTGGTTGCGCTCTTGTGTTTAGGTAGTGTGCACACCCCCATACCGGAGAGTCCAATAGCTGGATGGAAGGGCTGGGGCTGTGAGTGGTACAGCTGTGCTCAAGGAGCTGCCAGTGCAGGATGCTGGTTCTGAGGAGGCGGCAGCCCCATGTTCTGCTCCTTTCATCACTGCAGTTTCCAGGAGAGCCCTGCGTTCTGCAGATAGCTATTTATATCCATGGATATCTGCATCCGTGGACATAAATTTGTATCATGCAGGACTCTCTATATAATACGTTCAACTTCTAAAAAGCTACATTTGTTTCTTAACCAATGTGTGCTTGATGACCTTAGTAACCAAACTAACGGTGTTTCTGCACTGGTGATGACAAAAACATGGTAATCTGTTAGAGCAGGGAACTAGCTGACTTCTTTATCCCTCATACATGATCTGTGTGCTTCATAGTGATAGTGGAGGCCTATCACAAAAGGAGAAATACTGCATGAAATGAACTTCTTAGTGTGTGACAGGATATGGCACATTGGCACAATAGGAGTGGATAAAGTAATACTCTGCCTCCGCCTCCATCCCCGCATTAGCTCCTGAATAATAAGGTGTCATGGTCAGGTCATGGGCCTCCAGACATAGGTGTCAGAACTAGAGTCACTAGTCATGAGACAGTCAAAAATTGCCTGTTGGGATACTGGGAGGTCAGAATCAGGAAACACACTGTAGATCAGAATCACGAGTCAGGAACTGAGTCAGGAGACAGACTGGAGGTTGGGAACTGGAAGTCAGATGCCAGAAGTAAGATGGGTTGGAATGCCTGGAAACTAAGCTGTGGAAGCAGGAGAGCAAAGCAGATAGTGGGGAACAGAAATGGCTAGCAGCACAGGTGCTGAATTTTTTTTTTTTAAATATGTATAGATGGGTGTTTACTTCTCTCCTTCTCCCTCCACCATTCAAGCAGTAGGCGGGGCCTCAGGCTAAAGAGTTTAAGCAGGAGCAGGTCTTTGGGGTGGAACATGGATGGGGCCTCAGGGGAGGGAAGGAATTGTGGGTGGGGCCTCTGGAAGAGGCTGAGTGGTGGGCAGGGCCTTGGAGAGAAGAGGATGGGGGCTCTGGATGAGTCCCATGAAAGGTTAATCTAGTCCTGCTGGTGCTGGGTGCTTTCTCTTCTCCTCCTCCCCATGGAGTTGGTACCTATGTGTAGTGGGGCCAGGAAGTACAAGACACCATTGTCCAGAGCAGTTTCCTATTCCTACTACAGGCTTAATAAGGGCGAATCAGCCACATTTGGACTTTGCCAATGGGAGAGTGGGCAGGAGCCTTTTGTTGTGTCTGGGATTCATGGGTCTCAGGAAAGCTATTAGTGGAAGTTTGGAACTTGGCTGCTCCCATGGAGCTTGTGAACCTAGATTCAATATCCATGCATTATGATGCAACCCCAAAAAAATTCATGTTTAACTTAAAGGGAACAAAGTGGTCTAACCAGGCTAAACCATACTTAAAGGCTGGATATCTCTTCAGTTGATAACTGGTATATTAAGTTTTATTCTGAAGGAATAAGTGTTCACTTTAAATCCATTGTCAGTGTCGCAACTGTGTGTCATCTCTGTTTTGTTGGAATATATAATTCTTCATTATATGAAATGAAGCATTATGCATTCCAACAAAATAAAGATGACAGACTGTTCACTTTAAATCATTGTCAGTGTTGCAACACTTTTTATTTAGGAAAAAAATACAAATATAAAAACTAACTTAAATGCATCCTTTGATCTTGTGCATTTTGTCAGAATTGTTTTCCTTCTCTATTCTGATTGATCTCCTTTGAGCAAGCACTTCCTTCTCTATGTTCTGTATTTTGAACACACTGTTGCAGTCATATAATAAATTACATTTATTGACAAGCCCTTATTTGAGGCCTGACAGAAATTCATTTTCTTTATCACTGTCATTTGTGAAATTGGTGGTAATATAAATTGGAGTAATTAAAAAAAAAAAACTACTGAGACCTGATTTTTAGGGTTTGAAATCCAACTCTCAGACAACTTTTGTGACATTTCCCCATAAACACAGTCGCTTTTGCACAAAATCTTGCCACCTGTCTACACTGGCCGTGAGTATTTGCACAAGAACACTGACTTTGTATTGTACAAAATCAGTGGTTCTTGCGCAAATACTGCGACGCTCCCGCTCAGGGATAAGCCCTCTTGCGTAAGAGGGCCAGTGTAGACAGCCAAGTTAATTTCTTGCGCAAGAAAGTCCGATGGCTAAAATGGCCATTGGAGCTCTCTTGTGCAAGAAAGCATCTACACTGGCATGGATGCTTTTGCGCAAAAGCAAATCTTTTGCGCAAAGGCACATACCAGTATAGACGCTCTCTTGCGCAAATCCTTTTAACGGAAAAACTTTTCCGTTAAAAGTATTTGCGCAGAATCATGCCAGTCTAGACGCAGCCAAGATGGCTGGGATGCTACATCAAAATAGAGACCATATAAATGTAACGTGTTATCCATCATCAGGCTTACTTGCTGTTTTTTGTATGTTTTCTTCCCACATAACTATAGAGCCTTTTAAAATATTGAATGGCAACATTCTTAAGACTAGCCCCATTCCCTCTGCTTTTTAAAATTTGTGTTTTACTACTGGAAATCTACTGTGAAAATAAGTAGTTTTATGTTTTGTGTTTTTAGGATGACTACCATAGAGTAGTTAATGTTGCACCCAAGAAACCACCATTACTAGATAGACCTACAGAAGGAAGCTACAGTAGATACGATGATTATGGTCATGCTGACTACAGAGACTATGAGGAAGGCCGCAGTTTTGCCCATGAACGAAGAAGTGGCCCACCACATAGAGGGGTATGTGGTTTGATTTTTCTCTCATGAATGTATTGCTTGTCTTCTCATTCATCCTTTAATCTGTGCACAGTTAGAGGCAATGTCATCTCAAAAATGGTGATAGACATTCCACAGAGATTTCAACAACCTACACCCCACCATTAACCTCAGCCTGGACCATTCCACATGAGAGATCCATTTCCTGGACATCACAGTACAAATCAACAATGGAAAATTAGACATCACCCTTTACAGAAAACCCACTGACTCATACAATTACCTACATGCTTCCAGCTCCCATCCAGCACACACCATACGATCCATCATCTATAGCCAAGCCCTTCGATACAACAGCATCTGCTCTAATCCCACTGACAGAGACCAGAAACTTCAGGATCTCTACCAAGCATTTATAAACCTCAACTACCCACCCGGAGAAATAAAAAAGCAAATTGAAAGAGCCAAACGAATACCTAGAAACCATCTACTACAAGACAGACCCAAGAAAACCAACAATAGAACACCACTTGTCATCACCTACAGCTCCCAACTTAAACCTGTCCAACACATTATCAATAAATTACAGCCTATACTGGAACAGGACACTAAACTCCAAGAAGCTCTGGGAGACAGACCCATAATCTCCTATAGACAACTACCTAACCTCAAGATGATTCTTACCAACAACCACAGGACATACCACACTAATACCAACCCTGGTACTTTCCCTTGCAACAAACCCCATTGCCAGCTTTGTCCACATATTCACTCTGCTGACACCATTATTGGGCCTAACCAAGTGAGTTATAAGATCAAGAATACATATTCCTGCGCATCCAGAAATATAATCTATGCTATCATGTGCCGAAAGTGTCCGTCTGCTATGTACATTGGACAGATGTCTCAGACACTTTGCCAAAGAATCAATGCCCACAAAACAGACATTAGACAGGATCACAAAGAAAAAACAGTTTCTTGCCATTTCAACCAGAAAGGACACTGTCTCAATGACCTAATCACATGCATCCTACTTCAGAAGACATTCAAATCTGCACTTGAAAGGGAATCCTCTGAACTGGCATTCATGCTAAAATTCGACACTCTCCGCAGGGGACTGAACAAAGACCCCAACTACCTTACCCATTACAAAGATAGCTTCCCCAATTATCACCTCTAATACCATTAGCTCACAGATATCTACCTTTCCCCACCTCTAATATCATTAACTCACAGACACTTACCTTCCTCTCTCCCACCCCCCCGCATTCCCCCTCTGTTCTGCAATGTGATTTGTCCTTTTCATATGTGTTCATTTTTTTAAATTGTATCTTTTGGTATATATGGTTGTGACTATTTTCTTCCACTATTTGATCTGAGGAAGTGGGTCTGGCCCACGAAAGCTCATCATCTAATAAACCATCTTGTTAGTCTTTAAAGTGCTACATAGTCCTGTATTTTGTTTCATCTCAAAAATAATTTCTCCCTGAACGTTTGTCAGCATTATCATAAATAAACTGAAAGGTTATGGGGGGAAAAAAACATATTCTGCTTTTGACAGTTTAGGTTGGACCTCCCTGGTAGGGATGTAAGCGACTAGTCGCATAGGCTTATCGGGTAGTTAAGTTAATACTTGACTAGTTGCTCCTCTTCCAAGTGGTGGGGAGCAAGAGCCAATGCTGGGGGGAGCCTGCGGGGTTCTTGCTGTACTTAAAAGGCAAAGGCGCTGCAGTCGGGACCTGGTGTGAGCAGGGACTGCTTGATTTCCCCTCCACCCCCCCTCCCCGCACCCTGGGTTCCTCGCTGTGCCTCTGCCTTTGAAATATAGCAAGAGCCCTGGGTTTCCCTCTATGCCTCTGCCATTGAAATGTAGCGAGAGCTCTGTGGGCAGCTCTTACTACAATTGAAAGGCAGAGGCGCGAGTCAGGATAGCGAGTGCCCCTCCACCTTTATTGACTAACCAATTAGCTGATTAACCAAAATCTAACATCCCTGCTCCCTAATCTGGCACCCTTGGGAGTGGCCAAACGAGAGAGTTTGCTGGAACTTGGGAGGTAAATTCTACTCTCCTCCGTCCCCCAACTTGGCTCCACTCCTAGCCACTTTCCACTCCTGGCCACCTTTCTCCTTCTGGAGTGTGCTGTCCTGCTGGGCTCCCAGACTTTGGACCTGCTGGACTCCTGGATGCTAGCCTCACCAGAGTCTGCTGCTATGCTGGCCACTGGCCCGGAAGGGCTTCTGGTTGCTGGTCCTCTACTGGGACATTGATGTTGCCAGACCACAGATGTTGGTGGACCAGAGAGTCTCAGTTTAGAGAGGTTCAACCTGTACTTTGTGTACAGTCACTTTTGCTTCTAAGTCTGTCATGATTGCAGGGAAATGATACTACATTGTAATGTGCCTGCACTTCACCAGGTACACTGGGATGGGACAGCACAGCAGTGCAATATCCCACTCCCTGGACTTCTTAACAAAGTCTGTTTGGGTTGAACATAAGTGACCAGAAGCCCCCTCTCTCTTTCCTTTTCCCTGCATATTTTTCTAAGTGGGTTTGAAGTGAACAGCTGGGAAGTGGCTTGGAGAGGTCTTCCACACATCCCAGATGCTTGCATGTGCAAGTTAATGGGGTCAGTTAAAGGCAGTTAATTTTGTGAAACTTGTCCATCTATCATTCTGATTTCCAAGGCAGTAGATGCACAATCAATGATCATTTCTAAAAATTGGGTACCTCCCTATCTTATTGAGAATTTTGAAATATACAAAATAAGAAAAGTATAGCGCGTGGGGAGAAAAGGTCAACTAGTAGGAGAAAAATCTCTTAGATGGATTAAAAAGAATTCTGTGCTATAAATCCAAGGTTTTTTTGTAACATGATAGATAGTGAGCAGGTTTTATTTACTCCTAATTGTGTCTTACATCTATATTTTGTTGAGGTAAACTTCATATAACCATCTCTCTTTCCTATATTGTAGGAGGACCCAGGGTACAGATGGGCACGGGAAGACTATCCCGTAAGTCGACAGGCCGAGTACAGGTATTAATGTAACTTTATAAAATTAATCTCTTTTTGCATTCAGTGCCAACTTTTTAAAAGACTCGATGGAGTCTCACTGAACTGGGATATTTCCCAGGACATTAGTATAAAGATAATAACATTAGTATAAAGATACATTAGTATAAAGATAATAAAGGGTAATAACTTGCTTCTTAATTTGGGCACTGTTGCATAAATTCTCCCTTATGCAATTCCATCTGCAGATCCTCACTTTACAATTAACAAGCTATGCTGCTTGAGCTACAAGTCTATTAGTAACTGTAAACTTTTGGGATATGTTTGTGTATCAACTTCAAATCTGAATATTTTTCTTTGAGTGCTTGCTCATATAATAATTGAAGTGTGCACATACCATGTGCATGATTGCCAGAGAGTTTTTACCCTAACTGTTACCCATTGGGTTGACTGTAGAGTCCCCTGGAGCAGCTCTTGCTGACTCAACTTCACCTTAGTTCCTTCTTATCACCAGTGACAGCTGTTGGGACTTGTGGCTCTCTTGGTTTGCAAATGCCTCCTCTATCTAGTACTTCCAGATCTTTGGTATGTTAATAGTTAGATTAGTAGTTGTTAAGTCAGTGTTAGTTATCAGCAGAAGATAAAGTGGGTTCCCGTTGGGATCTGGGGCATGCCAAAGTTCCAGGGCTTCAAAATCCTGCAGGTCTTGCCTTAAGTTATGTTTACGGGCAACCACCATTGCTCGTGTCTCCAGCGCCTGGGGGAAAGCTATCAGACTGACAAGTGCAAGATCTATAAGGCCTTCAAACCATCTACTAGAAAGGAACGGGACTTCTGCTTGAGGCAGATCCTCATGGAATTCACTCTGACCTCTGACAAAAAATCCCCCTCCAAGCAGCTTTGATGCAGAGCACACCTACTTTAGCATTCTCGGCACTTTCAGTTCCCTCTGTACCTCTGGCATCAGCATCCCCTGAATGCTCCCAGACTCTTAGCACTGATCTGCCGTTCCCTCCTTGCACACAGAGTCCAATTCTCTTGGATTCTCCAAGGTGTGAACTTTTGGTGTTGGGCCCATCTTCCACACTGGACACCTTCAAAGCTGTGCGAGGCCTCATTGAAATGATGCAGTCCCCTCAAGCGACAAGACCACCACGTCCCGCCAGCTTTTATGGGGGAAGCCAGCTGGTCTGACTTGCATGTCAGTTGTACTTGTGGCACTGCTCTTGCAGTCAGTCCTTTCTGAGCCAGTCCTGCTCGAGGGCTTCTGTGGAGAGCAGGCCAAGTCCCCAAGGAGACTTTGGGGTCTTCACACCTCTCTGACTGTTCCCACAGTCAGCAACAAAGACCTTTTACATCTGCACTTGAAAGGGAATCCTCTGAACTGTCATTCATGTTAAAATTCGACACTCTCCAAAAAGGAATGAACAAACACTCGAACTATCTTACCCATTACCAAGATAGCTTCCCCAATTATCACCTCTAATACCATTAACTCACAAACATCCCACTCTCCCCACCTCTAATATCATCAATTCACAGACACTTACCTTCCTTCCTTCCCCCCTCCCCTGCATCCCCCTCCTGTTCTGAAATGTGATTTGTCCTTTTCATATGTGTTCATTTTTTTTTAATTGTATCCTTTGGTATATATGGTTGTGACTATTTTCTTCCACTATTTGATCTGAGGAAGTGGGTCTGGCCCATGAAAGCTCATCATCTAATAAACCATCTTGTTAGTCTTTAAAGTGCTACATTGTCCTGCATTTTGCTTCACATAGGTGAAGGCATTCTTGGCTGCTTTTTGACTCATTTTCCTCTCCAGGAAATCTGCAGGGCTGTGTTGTGGTTCTTGGTCCATACCTTTACATTGGACTACACTCTTGTACATCAGTCCAGATAGGATGCGGCTTTTGGGACCACGGTACTCAAATCAGCTACACGTTGATGCCAACTCTTTCTCCTGGATAAGGCTTGTGTATCACTTGAATTGGAATACGTATGAGCAAGCACTCAAAGAAGAAAAAGTGGTTACTCACCTTTGTAGCTGTTGTTCTTTGAGATGTTTCTCCTATCTATTCCATACCCACCCTCCTTCCCCGCTGTTGGAAGAAGGGACTGAGATGCAGTTGGGTTGGCAGAGTCATATATAGTGTGCCACAGGGGACTCTGCAGTTGACCCAACGGGTACCAGCTTGAGTAGAAGCTTTCTGGGCAGTCGTGCACATAATGTGCATACACCTTAATTGGAATAGATATTAGCAACACGTCTTGAACAGCAACAGTTAAAAAGGCGACTGTTTTTTTCCATCAATTGCTGTTGTTTAGGTCTAACCCCTCTAATTGTCTACGCTTTCTTGTTTTTTCATTTGCTAACGCAGTCTGGGAAGCTTCTTCCCCCAGTTTATTGACCCACTCCTTGTTTAGGAAGATGTGTAGAATATAGGGACGTGTGTGTGTTTATCTAGATGTGGGGTTTTTTTTGTTTCGTTTTATATTTGTATTTGTCACAGCAAACCATGGAAAATTTAAATGAACAATTATCAGTTCAGCTGACATAAAATTTTAACAATATATTAAAATTATATTTCAAATTCCTTTGGCATTTCTCTTGTGTTTATTGGGTGAGAAGAACTCACTCCCAAACACCTACTCTTTTGACCTCCATCTCCTTTTGAATTCAAAAGGTTACTGCATGAGTGTATGCCCATGAGTGTGTGCTTGGTACACAAATGGAGAACTGTGCCTGTTGCACAACCTCCTCAGTCAATAATATACAGGACTATGTAGCACTTTAAAGACTAACAAGATGGTTTATTAGATGATGAGCTTTCGTGGGCCAGACCCACTTCCTCAGATCAAATAGTGGAAGAAAATAGTCACAACCATATATACCAAAGGATACAATTTTAAAAAAGTGAACACATATGAAAAGGACAAATCACATTTCAGAACAGAAGGGGGATGGGGGGGGGGGGAGAAAGGTAAATGTCTGTGAGCTAATGGTATTAGAGGTGATAATTGGGGAAGCTTTGTAATGGGTAAGATAGTGTCTTTGTTGAGACCGATATGTAGAGCCCATGAAAGCTCATCATCTAATAAAGCCCCCCCTTCCCACATCCTCCTTCTGTTCTGAAATGTGATTTATCCTTTTCATATGTGTTCACTTTTTTAAAATTGTATCCTTTGGTATATATGGTTGTGACTATTTTCTTCCACTATTTGATCTGAGGAAGTGGGTCTGGCCCACGAAAGCTTATCATCTAATAAACCATCTTGTTAGTCTTTAAAGTGCTACATAGTCCTGTATTTTGTTTCAGCTACACCAGACTAACACGGCTATATTTCTATCACTATTCCCCAGTCAATAGTCCAATTGATTTACTCTTAAAAGTATGTTTCAAAAGAATCTTCTTCAATTTCATCAAATTATTCTTCATTCTAATACTTACTGGGAATAAGATTCTCCTCACAGATAATACTAAATGCAAGTATTCATAGTGTGTTTGATACCTTTGTTCAGAGAGAAGTTTAGTAAATATTTTCATTGTGGTAGACTGGAGTGAGAAGTAGACCTGTAGTAGTAGAATGTATGTGGAAAGAAACAGGCACCCATTGAGATGTTTGCTTGATACACTGTAAGAAACAATAAGTTTTCAAAACTGTCAATACAGTTAAAATGAAAATTGGAAAAGAATTAATGGAAAGATTGTTGGTCCAGTAGCATCAGGATTCAGGAGTCCTAGGTTTAGTTCCCTTCTGTGCCAAGGCCTTCTTGTGTGGTCATGGAAAAGTCACTTACCTTGTGTGAGTCAAATGCCCCTCTGGAAGAAGGGGATAATAGTACTTCCATATCTCCATGCAGTGAGGATAAATTTATTTAAAAAGATTGTGAGGTGCCAATACTATTTTGATAACATTAAAAAACATAAGACAGATGTGTATTTCTTTGAATATTGGGACTTAGATATTGTAGAACTTAGACATGAAAACATAATTTGACTGAAAAAACAAGTTAATGTCATAAGTAGAATTCTATACTACACTCAGCTTCTTTCCTTAAAATTTCCTACCATTGCTATCTTTACTGTAGCTCCATTAATACTAGTTAACAGTAAGAAGGCTTTGGAAAGCTGTCATTAAAGATAGTGAGGCATGAGTTAGAAAGCTGAATATGAAATATTTTGTTGGGACTACACTGGTCTTTCCTTTCTCAGCTATTTCAAAAGAACTGGAATTGTATAAAGCTGCAAAAAGAGATTTATTTAATGTTAGGGATCTTGTTTTATACAGAGCAAGAGTGGCACCCAGTGGTGAGAGAGACCTACTAAAGGAAGTGTTTGTTTTCTGTTTTTTTAATAGTTTCTCTCATGTTAAAAGATGTAGGACAAAATATGAACTTGAGATTGGGTTTTTCAGTTTATTTGGATACATATTTGAAAGAGATTTAATTGCCCTTTTGTAGCACTTCATATAACAATGTTTAGTTTACTGGGGGGGGAAATGGATTTTATATGTTGACAAATCCCCTATCAAGCAGAAGTTACATGCACGCGCGCGCGCGCACACACACACGCCTCTCCCCTCCCCCTCCCCCTCTCCCCACCATCATTTGTGGAAAGGAACACAGGGAAATTCTTAACAAGTTGCATGGGAACTATTGTGAACACCCTGCTAAAACATACTTTCTAACTCTCTAAGTAGAAATTGGTATGTTTGCATCTCGTTCGGTAATTAATTTTGTAGTGTTGTTCAGAAGAGAAAATCAAAATGAAAAGTGTTTAAAATATGTGCTCCTTTTTTTGTGCTGCTTTTGGTGAAAATGCAATTCTTTCTAAAAGTACATCTAGACATAAAAACTTAGAGGATTAAATTAGAATACATTTACTGTACAAATATGCAGGAAAATGCATTAGAATCTTCCTCTTAGATACCTTTATAAAAGATACACCCTTTTGGCGTTAGAGTAGAGAAAATTGATTAACTTTAACAAATTAAATGAAAGCAGGTTAGACAAACTCCTC